AACATTGGTGAATGCCACAAATTCTCCTAAATCACTCGTACGCACAACTTAAGAACAAATCTGTGCGTACGAACGGTTCTTGCATGAGGCCCACTCTTCCCTTCTGTTATTTTCTTTTGTGTTTTTAGTTTCTACACTGGGCCAGCTGTGGTCCAGGGTCACGTTCCTCTGGAAATGAACAGTCTGGTTTTGGTTCTCAACGGCCGAGAGCAGCAGAAGGTCACGTACTCCACTCGGTGGCTGGAGCATGTCCAGGCTCTGGTTCACTCCAACACTGTGTCTCATGTAGCCGTGGTCCTGCTGGGCAACGAGCAGTGCAACAATGACTGGATCGCCCCACACTTGAAGAGAAACGGTGGCTTTGTAGACCTGCTGTTCCTCGTGTATGACAGTCCGTGGGTCAACGATAAGGATGTTTTCCAGTGGCCTCTCGGCGTTGCCACGTATGTCATCTCATCAGTCTTATGTGTGTGTGTGTATACCTTAATGAGCAACACTAATACAAATGTGTGGATCCAGATGTGTGAATTCGTCTCCTTTTTAATGAAACACATTCTGTAACATTAAAATCACCATTTTGTTTTGTTTCTGTGTAGATACAGAGAGTTTCCTATGATCAGGCCTAATGCCCAGCTGATAACTTCCAACCGACCATACCTCTGCAACTTCTTAGGAACTGTTTACAAAAATTCCTCCAGGGAAGCACTGATGCAAGTGCTGAAACAGTCTGGCTTAGATAAGGAATGTCTCACTGCTGCCAGGGACAAGTAAGTCTTTATTTTTTTGTTATTTTACAGATATTATAAAAATACAGTTTAGTCAAGTGTAGTTAGATGCAGTACCTGTCTTGCCAAAATCTATCTTGGATATTCACTTTGATGACTAAATCGGTACGGTTAAATAATTAAATCTTCTTAATTTTTGCCTTAGATGGCTTCCTCAGGAAACATCCGAGAGTCTGAAGCGCTACCAGACAGCTCTAGCTCAGAGCGAGCTCACCCTCTGTCCAGTGGGGRTCAACACGGAGTGCTACCGCGTCTACGAGGCGTGCTCCTACGGTTCGGTGCCCGTGGTAGAAGACGTACTGACACCTGGGAGCTGCGCAGCGGGGCCCAGCTCTCCGCTGCGTCTCCTCAAAGCTGCCGGGGCGCCTTTCATCTACATCAGCGACTGGAAGGAGCTGCCGGCCATCTTGGAGAGGGAGAGGGGAATGAGCCAGGAGCAGAGGGTGGACAGGAGGAGGAGGCTGCTGGAGTGGTACTCCGGCTTCCGTCAGCAGATGAAAGAGAGGTTCACAGAGGTCATCGAGGAAAATTTCTTCAAAAATGTCTGACTGGTGTTTTTTTTTTTTTTTTACATAAACGTTGACGTAATTTATTTTGTGGTTTGTGGAAAAAGTGATGTACTACTGGCGTAGTGAACTTGGTGATATTCAGTGATGTATTCTCAGAGGCAGGTATCATGAAATAATTTATGTTGTAGTGAAATGATAAAGTTGCTATATTTTTAGTTTGTAACATTTATGTTTATTTGACTGAAATGTTTACAGCTGTGGAATGTACTGGCATTAAAAACTACAAATTGTAAGCTGCCTTTACATTTTATAGCCCATGATTTACTTCAAAAGTGTTTTTTTATCTTTGTTTGTATGCACTGAAAACTGTGATTTTTTTTTTTAAGAGAACACTAAACGTGTGTAGAAAAAAATAATTTGTGCTTTTGGGCCTTCTTTTAAAAGTGGTACATTTAGTAGATCAGTTTTTTTTTTTAAATTGTGAACATCTTAAAGATGAATAATGTTAGTGTGACTTGTATTTTTCTTGCTGAAACCTCATGAAAGAACTAAATTTTGTTGTATTTCAGTGCTGTGCTGCATGCACTTTTTTAAACGGTGCAATTAAAGTGGAGCGTTATCTAATGTGTGTTGTGCTATTTTATTCTACCAGCAGGTGGCGCTGTGGTTCAGTTTCTCAGTGGATGCAGTGGCTACAATGTTAAAACTTTAATTTATGACAACCTAAGCTGAAAAGGGCAACTGGACAGTGTTGTATAAAGTACCTCAAAGTGATATTTGAGTCAAAGTACACGTATTTTATCATAAAAACACTTTGGTAAAAGTTAAAGTCTTTAAAAATATTACTTGAGTAAAAGTCTTAAAGTATCTGATATTGTTTGTACTTAAGTATCAAAAGTAAATTTCTGACACAAAATCTACTAAAGTATTTAAAGTAAAAGTACTGAGTAAAAGTGAGCAATTAAATTTTCCAAAATGACATTTATTGGGAGGTGACCTCTCCAAAAAATAATTTTTCTAACAGCGTGCAGCTGTGATGGGTTGTGTACAAGCTAACAGGGTGTCAGAATGATATATATATATATATATAT